TATATATATATATTTCGAGTACTTTTCATATCCTTTACGTGGCACGTAAATTTTTCGTTAGCCAAAAACAGGATAAAGTTTGGCACCGCCGCGCATTACCCCTGCCATCTGTGGACCCTTTTCAAAAGTGGATTATGCATCGATATGTACATACATCGCATCCATATATATGTATACGATTATACATACATATAAATATTGTATACATATAGATTTACCCATATCTGACTCGTGAAAAGTTTCGCCTGTGCGTGTTCTGCTAATGAGTCCCACATTAATATCCATTTAGCACCTGGTTACTGAGCAATGAAATAGAAAGACACATACTATTTATATAAGCATATAATCATCCCCCCAATCCTCAGCCATAGTTCGTGATTATTTCAATAAACTATAGCGTGGGTAACTATGGCAAGTTAAGTCTCATATGTATAGCTTCAACTAATGTGTACTAGAGCATCTAATATTAATATATATATATTATATATTCATGATATGATCATAGTAAATTCTTTGCATTTTATTTTTTCCGCCCAAAACTATTTACTGCTCACATTTATTGAAGTCTTTAACTCTTTTAGTATGATTACATTTTCCAGCTCAAATATGTCACTGACATTGACAGCCCAAAAATGTTCATCACAGACCAAGTTTACTACCCATCAATACAGAACGGCAGAGAAGGTGAACAGGTTTTTGCAGCTTTTAAATGCTTTTAATATTACCAGATTTGTTTTATCTTTACAATATTGTCTCGGCAAACTTAAATACAAAATGAATCAAGCTTTATATGTGAATAATATTCTCATATACTGAGATGCGTAATCACATATCGACTTTCGATTACCACAATGTCAAGTAGATGCCTTCTTTTCGGCGCTTTTCTATTCTTTGGTTGTTGTTTGCGCTTGACAACTCGTGCATCGGGCGAGGCTAGTGCAGATATTTATTGCGTATACGCTCCATAAACCGCATGCAATCAAGCTACAATGTTAGAGGATATGCGCGCGCGTAATAAAAGTGAGTTCATAAAAGCTGATGGCTGCTGCTATATGCCGGATGCCGGATGCCTGGTGTGGCTTGGCTGATGGCTGATGGGCAATGGCTGATGGCCGATGGCCGATGGCTGTCGTAGTCATGTAGCCGATCAAACAGTAAATTACAGGAGCATCTGAGTCAACAGCAATACCTGAGTCTTTTGTGTGGCAAAGGATAATTTTACGAGCATTCCGAGGACATAAGGCAACCTAAGCCATACCGATAAACCCATTCACAATCGATGTGCCATGCCCATTAACTTACCGTAGTGCCGTCGTAGCCATTTGTCAGCAGTTGAATGTCGATTTCCAGCTCCAGATCCACTTTGGAGGTTGTTAGTTGCAGCGGCAGGTGATCGACAGCCAACAGCCCGCTGTGGTTGCGTCGGCTGCYAGTGCCACTGTGATTGCTGCTGCTGCTGGTGGTGGTATTGCTGCCCGGCAGTAAAGTGGCCTCGCTGAGGTTTCTGTTGTTGCCGCCGCCATGATTAGAGGCAGCCGCAGCCGCCATGGCGGCGGACAGAGCTGCGATGGCCGTTGCGGCGCTCACGGCATTTATCATATTGCTTTCGAGGGGGATGGGGCTGGGGCAGTTAGGCGAGTTGGATGAGAGGACTGGGGGACAATAAGCTGGCTGGTTCTCTTACAGCCGCTGCGTGCGGTAGTATGTGCAATCGAAGTGCAATCTCAGAACGAACAACAATTCGCCAGGCGATTGTGGCATGGCATTTTGGCCTTGATTGTTATGTCTAATTATTGCGTCCTTTGGCTGAGTGGCTCGACGTGTACTTATTGGCTCCAAGCATTATTGCTGCAGCTGCTGCTGCCCTCGATTGTTCTATTCATTAGCGTAAGGCGCATATGCATATGCATTTCCCATTTCCCATTTTGCAGTCGGCACACACATATGCACATATGCACTTAAACAATTGTGAATGCAGCATAAACACTGTGTAAATCAACGTCTCCTAGGCGTGTGCTGAGCTGTGCCCAGTCATCGTCATGCCACATTTCCCCAACGGAAATTGCATATTTTCAACAGTTTTTTGCCGTGCGCCTCCGACTGCAGAGTCATTTATTATTAGCCACGACTATAACATGGCCAAGACGTGACCATTCGACGGCAACTGTGCTTCACTTTCTGTCTGCGTGTGTGTGTTTGTATGTGTTTTGAATGGCACTAAGTAACCGTTCAGTGGAACACTGCATGCAGCCTGGCGCTAGGCCAGTGCCTCTGCCACGCCCTTTTGTAATCAGGCAAATTATCAAATTATCATTTGAGTTTGAGCTCGAGTTTGAGTTGATATTGGGCCAATAAGCCCCGCCACTAGATGTCTTCGATTTGGAATCACACTCGAATCTTGCACTCGGCACTTTAGTGCTTGCACCTTCGCGCGATGTGCACAGCAAGCGGCTTCAACGGAGGCAACTGATCAAGAGTCACTCACGCATACGCACTTACACACACGCACCTGCACACACGGACTGCTGGAAGAACTGCGTCGGCTACTGTTTCGGCCGATGGAGGCTGCTGCCGCGCCGAACTGCGCGATTTGAAGGCTGAACGTTGACTGCCCGTTAACAGGCACGCACGAGCGACACGTTGCTCCATGGCGGGCATACGGACAGGCAGGCAGGCAGGCAGGCAGGCCGGCAGTCGGGCGGGCGGGCGGAACGCAGGCGAATGCCGTGCGTTCATTTGCCAGTGCCGCTCGGTATGCAACAAATTTGAAGCGATTTCTAACGACACTGGCGGCGAAGGCTCCAACGATTCAACAGGATGTGCCAAATGGCTAGTAGCACAGGCGAAATATGTGCGCAGCGCACAGCAGAGCGAGCTTTGCCGAGCGAAAAGAGTGACGAGAAAACGAGAGAGCGGCAACTAGGCAGATTGAGAGTGAGAGGGAGGTGCACAGAAAGCACCCGCTCTTATCGGCTAAGCACCTGTTGTACCACATCGCATTTGGCGCGTTTCATGCGCGTTTTATGCGCTGTTTATGCGCGACTCCTGCTTACATCCCCGCCCGCAATTTAGCTACGTTACCGCCAGCTCGACTCAGCGCGACAGTGTGAAGTGCAAGTGTAATGAAACTAAATTGCGACCTCTGACAAATTGCACTTGCCCAGCAATTTTTCAATTTCAATTTCATCTAACTTAGGCTAGCATTTATTTAGGCACACAATTGAAAATATATATATCTATCTCTCTCTATATTCTCTCTCTCTCTCTCTCTCTCTCTCTCTCTTCCACTTATCACAAGTTAACTAAAGCCTAAAAAGAAACGAGTCGAGTCAGAGCCAGATGTGCTGGCGCAGCCAACTAATATGCCTCGCCAGATCTGTATAGATGACGGGCTGCGTCAAATCGCAGCGATTGGTAAACACCTGGCCAGCGGAGACGACGCCGCGCAGCAGCCAGATATTGTTCTCCTGGAGCATGAGGCCGCCGCCGGAGTCGCCGCTGCAGGGTCCCGCCGCCTGTTTATTGCTCGCACAAATTGTGTTTTGCGTGACCAGTCTGATGCCCTCGCTGGATCTCAGACTGCGCAGGCACTCGGCCTCTGTGATAATATCCGTATCGGTCATCTTGGCTACGCGCGTGTTCGGGTTTCCATGCTCGTCGGATCCCCAGCCAGCCACGTAGGACTTGTAGCCAGATGGCAGCTGCAACCGAAAATTCTCATTCCACAGGCAAATGGGCTTGATGTATTCGCCAAAGCTGCAAAAGAAAATGCCAATGAAATTCAGTTTATCAGCAGTTGTTAAGGGCACTATCGAAACCTACCTCACTGGAGACGAAAGCTTGAGCAGCGCTATGTCCGCATTCGAGTAGTTTCTGGGCGTGTATGCTTCGTGTACCATCAGCACAGATACCTCACCCAACAGGCCGTCCGATACCAAGTCCAATGTGTTGCGGCCCAGCGAAACACCGACACGGCTCGGCGGCAAGTTTCGCTCGGCGTAAACGAAGCAGTGCGCCGCCGACAGCACCGTAGAGGCCGAGATGAGCGTACCGCCACAGAAGAAGCGAAGACCGTCGGGACCACGCTCATACAGGGCGGCCATCCAAGGCAGCTGGCCGCGACGCACCTGGCTGCCAAAGTGAAGTAGAGGCGATGTGACCGGCCCTTCTCGGCCGCAGATCTCAGAGAGCTGGGCAAGTCCGCCTGCAGCGGTTGCTGGTGCGGGTGCGGGTGCTGGTGGCCTGGGGCGAGGAGCAACTTTAGCAGGCGGCAATTGTGGCGCTACTGATGTCGGAATAGGCACTTGTGGATTACTGAATGTGGGCCGCTGTGGTTGCGGTTGCGCCACACTTTGTCCCCAAATAGGTCGCTGTGGCTGATTTGTTTGCTGGACGAATCGAGGATCTTGGGTGAACAGCGGCACTGAGGTAGAGCGTAGCGAATGTGACAACGTCAGCGTTACACTGCTCGGGGGATCTGTAAGGGAAATGTAATCAGCTTCGGCTCACTTTTAATAATAATCTACGAGTCACTTACATGGCGATGCCCGGCATAGGACAACATCGTTGATCATCATCAATGTCAGCTTAGGCAGCACGCCGGGAGTGGGAAAATCCACGCGATACTTGATAGGAAGTCCATAGCGCAGGTTAGACTTGGTTGTCTCTTCGTCATCCCACAGAGTGAGGCTGCCGACGTAATTCTGAATAAATAAGATTCTCATTAATGGATGTAGGAAAAAATAAAAAACAAAACCGGAAACCCCTGTTCAGCATTGCTCTTTTATTCCCGATAATGTTAACGATGATATTTTATAATATTTAGCACCGACTCACACACAATAAAAAAGTCGAGCTTTGTCTTTTACATAGACATATAATCATGTATATATAAATAAATTGATTTGGTAAAACCAACAGCGTTGCGGTTTTATTTTTGAGGCAAGAGGCAATACGATTTATGGCAGCAGAGTAAATTAAATAATACAATCGATTGTCAAGAAACCGGTCACACAACTTCTAAAACCCAAGTATCAAAGCAAGAGAGCTGCGTCGTACCATCTAGAATCTTATATTTTGCACTGTGTACTATTTATTGAATCGTAATAATAATTGAAAAACGATTTCTGCTTTTACTATAACACACTCTACAATGATAATATTAACAATATAAACAATCCATTTGCGAGGTCGCTAATACAGGGAAAAATCAAAAGTCTAATCTTCGCTCGGGGTCAGCGTGTGATAAGAGCATAGAACAAATCAATTGGTATGAGACTTGAGCGGAGGGAATTCCAAATACGAAAAATCAAAGAGTAATTTCGAAAATTATTTCTCACCGAGCTTAGACTTCCTGGCTGTGAGAACTCAACTCTGAGCGTGTTTTCCTGATACTGTGGATCATGTCGTATCGAAATGCGACCCACGTATTCCTGATTGTATGCCAGATACTCAAAGTATTCCGGGCAGGCAATGGGCGGCACTTGCTGTGCCGAGCTGAGCCTAGGCAGAAGAAGCAGCTTTATAATGATACCGCACAGTATCAAGAACTGTTCCATAATCTAAATGAGCCGAGACGCGAGACTAATTGAACAAGCGCAGTCACGATTCAGACCTCAATGGAAGAGCGCCAAGCGGTGACTATTGTATGGGGAGTTCTGTTCCGACACGCAGCGGTCAACAATCGATGAGCATCGATGATCTGGGTGAAACCCGTTTCGTTTTCGCTCTGTTTCTCTCTCGCTCCCTCTCACACTCGCTCTGTAACAACAAAGCAATAGTTGGACGATCTCTCTCGTGCTGTGTTTAGATCGATATCAATGTATTAATTTCTCTTTTTTATTCATCTTTTTACTCTCTTTTGAACGGGTATTTATTCTAGATTATCAGTGTTTTGGTTCGTAAATAAACGAGCTTATTTACTCAGAGTCAGCATATTATTGACAGCGTATCTCGACAAGGGAATTTGCATATATATAATCCACCCTGGTGACGTTCATAGTAGTAGCTGGGGTATAGAGCGAATATTTGTATAAATGTTTGATTTATTTATAAATTATTTACAGGAAGAATTTGACTTAGAGCTGAGTAATTAATAATAGGTAGAGCAAAATGCTTTTATGGCACTATTTGGAGACTGGCTAATCCCACATGTTCTGGCGGAGCCAGGCAATGTGTTTGGCCACGTCCGTGTAGATGGAGGGTCGGTTGAGATCACATGTGTTGTTTTTTTGCAGGCCAAGGGAGATGACTCCACGCAGCAGCCAGACATTGTTATCTCGCAGCATCAGTCCGCCGCCTCCGTCGCTGGCGCATGGACCGGCCCCCATGCGCTTCGCACAGATCGTGTTCGGCTGCACCAGGGAGCGCACACTCTCGCGCAGACAGTCGGACTCGCTGACGACGTTCGTGTCCGTGATTTTCGAGAACTGCGTGTTGACATTCCCGTTCTCATCGGCTCCCCAGCCAGCTACGTACATCTTAGTGCCTGCTGGCAGCTGCAGCGGATAGTTCTCGTTCCATAGGCAAATGGGAACAATGTAATCGTTGAAGCTAAAAGGGAATCGAGATAAGTTAATTCCATCGGATATGATCGTACATCGGCTTACATGACTTTCTTTGCTAGTCTAATGAGCACCATGTCCGCATTCGCGCTAAAGGCTTCATATGCGTCGTGGAAGAGCAGCTCTGAGACCTCGCGCAATTCACCCTCCGAAATGATGTCGATGGTGTTGCGACCCAGAGACACGACTGCGCGGTCAGCAGGCAGATCCCGACCAGGTAAGCGGAAGCAGTGCGCCGCCGACAGCACCGTCCTCGAGGATATAAGCGAGCCGCCACAAAAGAAGATCAGACCATTGTCTGTCCCGCGCTCGAAGAGACCGACCAACCAGGGCAGCTGGCCCCGCTGCAGCTGCTGGCCTTGGAAAATCAGTGGCGTTGTAACTGCTTGCTCCCGTCCGCAGACAGTCGTCAGCGTTTGATCTATGGGCACGGGCGTAGGATTCACCCTACTATTCAAATTAGTTTGCTGCTCTACGGCGGGCCGTGACCTGGGAGTTGTTCTAGGCGCCGGCACTTGAATCTGCGGTATCGTGTAGTCCGGTAGCTTCGCAGCCGGAATGGATGGCCCAAGGTCCCACTGCCGAATGAACCCGCTCTGACCACGCCTGGAGTCCAGGAAGGCAAGCGGCACCGTTGTGGACAGCAGTGAATGCCTAAGTATGATGGCGGTCTTTGGTGGTGGATCTGCAGAAAGATGCGAAAATTAGATGGACAACTTAACTATACTGGATTAAGTGACTCACACTGCGCTGCACTGCAGAGCACCTCATTATTGAGAGTGATTTTTGTCAATTTGGGCGGATCGCCGGGTATGGGAAAGTCGACGCGATAGTTAACGGGCTCGCCATTAGCTAAATGGGACTTGGTAACCTCCGGATTGTCCATTAGTGTCAAGCTTCCCACATAGCTCTAAGTAGATGAGAGTTAGAAAAATATATGATTAAATAAATAATTGCACTTGATAAAAACAAAAACAAAATCTGTTTTTTGTCGTTAAAGCTTCATACTTTTGGTAGGGTTATAAAGATGCCGGGGATCCACAGTTGGGTTGATAAAAACAAAAACAAAAGCTGTATATAAACTGGTCGCAGCTGTTTGGCCATGCACCAATACATGCATAGCTAATGCCACTTCGACTACCCACACAGAGAGCAGCAGAATCGAGCAATCAAGGGAACCACTTCAGCTTGTGAAACTTGCTCTTTGCGGCTATTAATAACTGTTCTCTAAGGTTTTCGCTCTCATGTTGACTCAGTCAATTAGGCATCTCATTGATTGACAACTCATTGCGTGCACACCATAAAAAAATATTCACATTTGTTTTTACATTCACTTATTGCTTTTAAATGGGGTTTTACCATGTCTATTAACTAATGCAACTATAACTATTCTGAATTATTAAGTGCATTAGCGTTCACAGCAAACAAACACACTTGTTGGGGTCAATGTGTGATAAGAGCAGAAAAATTAGCACAAAGCAGTCCAGCGGGCAGATCTTACTTACCCATTGATAAGCACCGTACTGTGAGAATTCCACAACGAGCTCGTTGCTCTCGTATTGCGGGTCATGTCGTACTGCAATGTGTCCTATGAACTGCTGATTGTACGATAAATACTCAAAGAACTGTGGGCAAGCGATAGTCGGCAAACGCTGAGCCGATATCGGCGAGATGAGTCCATGCAGTGACAGCAATATGCCGGATAATAGCAACGCACTCTCCATATAAATGGCTACTTGATGAACTGTTGATTATGATGATATGAAAATATAGAATCTACTCGTAAACTACACACGCGATTCACGCTGAAGCGAATGTCTATGTGGAACAGCGACGCACCTCGCGCTTTGAGCATCGGCACACGAATGATTTGTGTTTGCTTCAGAGCATTAAATACTAAGAGAATCGATCTGGTTCACTCAATTTGCTCGGGCGAAACCGGATAGCCACACGTGTGCGCATCGTCTGGTAAAAATATTACTCCTTCACGTGGAGTCTCCCAGTTTCAAAATTCTATTTCCCTTTGGGAATATATTGTTCGAAATATTGATAATCACTTTATGGATGCCTAGCTTATATGTAGAGTGATTATGGTTATATTGTTAAAGGTAAAAAACAAATGAATAAATAAATAAACAGGTTTATTCTGTATTTGGCTAAAACTCTTTTGTGTCAGTTTATTTATTAAATGTTTATATTTTGATTAAGTACTTATCTTCTTCTTCTTATCAGCGTTTTTCAACAAATTTAATAATTATGTATTCATATATGTGTGTA